TTCCCGCGCGACGCACTCTGCCTATGACCACACTTATGAAGCTTGGTTATTGCTCGGGGTGAGCAGTTTTGAAAAGCCACTAACCGAAAGTAAATATACTGGCTATCGTGTTAACAGTCTTGCTACTACTAGGAAATGTCGCCTAATTGCATACGGAACTTTTAACAACTTAGCATAGAATACAAAGGCGTTGCCTTCTCTGTTGAAAGGCATCCGGTTTTAACCGAAAAATAATCTTCAGACTACCTCCGCAGAGGTGCTAGATTACGACAGGCGTGGTCTCAACAACTGAATGTATAGTGCAAGCATTTGACTACTTCTTACCACAAGAACAGTTTGCCTTCAGAGTTATCCGAATGTCAGGAGCCTTCGTAATTTAAAACAAGATTGAAATGAAATCAGGAGTAAAACTGCCTGCGATATCTACAACTATTTAGCTGAACGGAATAGGCGGTTGTACCAGATGTAAGCCCTCGGATGCATTTAGCTTAACTATCAAAGCCAATATTGGCGTACTGGTAACACTAATGTCAGACATGAAACCGATGTAGGGTATATGCTGTTCTGCATAAAAGGCATAAACATGAAAGTATGGGGCAAATGCAAAGGCATTTTAGCATGAGTCCTTTGCTAAAGAAAAGAATTCGCACAGTCCGTTCTATTTTTCTCGTGTTTACAAGGAAGCCAAAAAATGATGCAACTTCATGGCTTACCAATCTTGAGGACGGGCAAATTTCGGCGGGTCACCTTTCGTTATCTTCATCCAGACACGCGTTTGATTCATGTCGTTAAAGGGAGGCAGAGTTTCGCCAAATTCTATCAGGGTGATGCCTAGTAAGAGGACAGAGGTGGAATGAGACCTCACCCAGCAGCGATAACAGAAATGAAACGACTATACAACACTCCTTTACTGTTAGCCCGAAATTAATCTTAATAGTCGAATATCTTCCATCACGAACTGTCTTATGGTGTAATCATTTAAAACATTATGGAATGGAGACAATTTGCCCACCTTAGTACCAAAATAAACACTATAAATACGGTGTCAGACATGACCAACGTTATGTTGATTAAAATTTTTGGGCCATCCTTCATAGAGCAAAGTAACTACGCCCCTCAACATGATGAGGGTGTAGTAGATCATACAGAAAAAGTAAATGGGTTGTAAAATTTTGCTTGATTATGAAACTGCACGCAGTGATAATAGGTGACATTTTAGCTACTTCTGGGTAAGGAGAACTTACCAAATGACCAGACATCGGCAGACATATCATAAGGATTGTCTTTGAAGGTTTCACAGGCAATAACTTCGGGTGCCATCCAGTGCGGGGTACCAATAAAGGTGGTACGTTTCTGACTTTCACTCGCCATACGCGCGGACACTCCAAAATCAGCTGAAGAAAGGCCAGCATTAATGACAAATCCAAAATCGAGGAATTCAAGCAGTGTAAGAGAAATCTTGTAGCAACAGTACTTTCAAGAAGTTCACTTATAAATTGATGATGTTATGCAAGCGTCTGAGGCCAAAGTAGCATGAATAGTGACGGATATAAAAATGAAAAATAGGGAAAAGTATGGCAGTAAGCAAACATTATGTTACCTAAACGAATTTCATAATTCAGCGTAATAAGAATATTTCCGGCTTTGAGATCGCGGTGAATTATGAGATTCTTGTGGAGAAACTCCAATCCGCAGATAACTTCGTGTGCTATAAATCGTATTTGTGGTTCTGTTAATGGTTTTTCTAACACTTTCATGATATTGTCCACCGCTCCGCCACCACAAAACTCGAGATACATCTGAAGATCGTAAAAAAAAGTATAAAAGAGTCCAACCCAAAGCTTTTTTTCGAACAAGTATACTTCGTGAAGATGCAAAACGTTTGGGTGATTAAACTTGGTCAATATTTCTATCTCTACTAGAAAATCCTCTAATTCCTCGGCCGAAGAATACTCGACACTTTTCAACGCAGCAAGCTTTCCGGTTTGGCGATGAGAAGCCTAGGAAAGGAAATAAATATCGGAATAACTATTACCTTGTAGACTTTACCATAAGCGCCATCTCCAACTTCAGAAATGTTTTCCCACACAGTTATTGGGTCTACATTCTTTATTAAAACTGATGGGAGCTCCTTAGGTTTGGGTTTCTCTTCGGGTCGAAGTTTTTTGAGAAAATTAGCCAAAAAAGACATGGACAGCTGCAATATTTTAACAAAATACGCCGCTACAAATATCGAACAAAAGTATGAAGATCAATGCACAAGAATTGCGCGCGGAAATTGCGGCCGCTCATGTCGAGAAGGTTACGGTTAGAGGCCTGAACGGTTCAAGTTAACGTATATCCGAGCTGGTGTCCTGGCCCGTGTATTTTAGGATAGCATGGTACATCTGAGTAAGGATAGTCGTAGTATATGATTAAATCTGAGCACTTGATTCCTCAAATGAATAATCAAAGGGTAAATAAGACTCTGATCTGCAAACACCGCAAAACGCTACATTCCCCGACGCTAAAAAGTGAGCTTGGCTTCAGAAGGCTTGACGGGCGTGGCTAGAGCACAGATAACTACCCTTCGAAAGCAGTGTGGTTCAGAAATAAATACAGCCTTTAAAGGAAACGACCAAACTGAACTGACAACCGTCAGCTTTCCAAGTTTAAGCTGATAAGCGACCACAAAATGAAACATTCCAATCCTTAAACACATGCAGAAAATTTAAGGAAAAATGAGATATGCAAGTAAGCAAACAGAGCACGTAAAACAAAGCTCCAATACCCCTGCTGAGGACTGCTGATTGTACAAACTTCACTGACGATGGAGCGAAATTTGATCATCTTGCGGAATTTTCTCAGTCTGCTTCTATTAAGAAAGCTGGATGCGGCCCATCCGTCGGTGACTTCGAACAGCTCAAAATA